TATGATTTCAATAATATTATGTTTTTGGACTAGCTGCCAGAAGTGAAGATACTGTATTCGAAAAAATTTGCATTGCTGCATGTGTGGTTTCTTTGATGTATGCTATTCGTGATATTCGGTTTGAATTCAATTATTCAGGAGGTCAATTTTGGTTTCTTCAGTGGTTAGCGCCGCCCCTGCTCCGATGACCTAAACACCACTATTTTACTTTCCATGTTGGCATTTTTGTACCATATGAAAAGATATAAAATTGAAACTACCTGTCTCTCATATAAACAATCCAAATCATTTTCAAGTTTCAACATCACTGATTTTACCTTCATATCACTGTGACAGTGTCATTGTTGTAATAATGTTCCATAAATCGCATAATATTCGCAATTGTGCATTCTCTTGAAACTCTAGCACTTTTTCTTGGCATAACGTCTTTAGTATAAACATAAAACATTACACTGAAGTCGACCAACAAAAGTTTGTAGCAAAAATACGAAATGGCAACCATGTTTTATACCAATATAGGCCTACTATGTGTTACATGAAGTGTAAGGCAGGTGAGCTACGAGCCTGCAGTATAGTTTTGAAAACACAATATTCACTCTGAAAATCATGGCAATCAGTCTAGATTTTATGCAAAAGATTTTACTCTAAATTGGCAAATATTTTGTATGAAGTGTTCAATATATAGTGCATCCTACACGTTTGGTGCTTTCTGAAAGGCAGGGAGATGTTATGCCTTGAAGGTACAAAGAAATATGAGTATTTAAGTATATAAAAATATTATAAATAAGTATTTTATATTATTAGTATAAGTATGGTCTAGTATGCTATATTAAATGTTATACTATATTTTACTATTTTATAACATATTATGGATGTTTTACTTTGCAAATCATGTGTAATAATCCATCTTTATAAGTTCTCTGATTATATTATGTTATTTATGTCCTGGTAAGTGATTCAGCCAAAAAATCCTGTCCAACCCACATTTCCCCATTTTTGGCCCCAACACCTTGTTTGACAAATGTTGGGAAACGTCCGGATAACTTTGAATTTTCAGAAAAATTTTTTCGCAGTTATAACAGCAGAGGAAAAATATTAAATGTCATGAAAGCACAGGCAAATGGGATCATTTGTTCAGGAATGACGGATAAATATTTATAGGGGTGGGCTCATTGTGCGCACCCCCGGTACAATAGGGCTTAATTGAAGAGAAGATTTAATTTTTTAATAGATTTCAGTTGGTGCCTCTATATTTGAGGGATCTTTGGCCACTGGAAGTCCCGTACTTCGGGATATTCATTTGTTCGTTATTTCTGGTGTCCCGATCATGGATTTGGTTTCTTAATTCAAATTTGTGGCATAGGTATGGGGTTGCTTGATACATTTGTAAGTTAGTAAAGTATATTTATATAACAGATGTTCTTTAATTGGCAACCAACCAAGTGACTTTATAGCCGGGGATATTGATCATATTTCGGGATTCCTGTGATGAGTTTAGTAGCATAGTTTTGGATAAATTTAATTTTTTTATGTTGGAATCTGCCGTATTCGACCACACAGATGAACTATAGTTGACTTTACTTGACACCAATGTCTCAATGATATTAGTTAAATTAATGTTGTTCGGTCAAACATATGTTCTACTCAACTGTTTGACCCAATTTAGAAACACACGAAGATGATAGCTTTTGTATGTGTTTATTGAAATTAAGAACCAAGAAAGATACCAAGAACTTTCACTTCTGTCTCTGGTTCATGATTGTTGCCAATAAAATTTACATTAGGTACCGTCTCCAGCTGTTGAAACAGTCGACGAGTCCGATTACAAACATTTTGGTTTTCTCTGGATTTATCAACAGACTGTATTATAATGTTTGTAATGTTATTTGTAAATATTACTAATGTAATCTTCAACAGAGAAAGAGCCACCTTGTGGATCATATTGAATACATCATTATTATTAGTATTTACATGGGTCTTCGGATCTCGGATCCGGGGGCTATATGTTCTGGCTTTGCATGCATATAGCCACTAATGAAAGGATTCCGGACATTCAAACAAAGTCGAAATAGCGACAATATAGTGAGGTTCAGATTTGAAATGGTTGAATACTTTCTACTATACTACAGGAAAAAGAAAAGCTCGAGTAAAAGAGATAATTGCCAGCGTACTAAAACGTTTGGATTTTTGTTAGTACTTGTTTTATACTCAGCCTATACAGATAGGGCAGGTTTCACGTACAAACTCAGCCAGTATAATTTCTAGATGTCGCTTTCAACCTCGTCGAATAATTATTAAATTTTTTAAAACTTACGAGAATGTTTTCCGGTTTCAGGTCACGATGAACAATGCCGCGATCATGCAGATACTTCAGGCCTGACGCAACATCTTTTGCCAACTTAATCATCACCTTGACAGATTTGCTTGTTCGATCACTTGCTGGGATATGATCAGGATTGCTTTTCAGGAACGACCTTAAATTCTCCTTGCATAATTCCGTGAGAAATATCACTCTTTTTCCATCTTGATCATCATGTAAAACTCTTCCAAAAAATTTTACAACATTTTTGTGATTGAGGTCCCTGTTAATACAGAAAATTCAAATATTATTCTTACAAGACGGTAATTACTGACCACTTAAGAAAATAGTATAATTTAAACAAATTGCTTGTAAAAATACTAAAAACTGTGTGGTTCAAAATACTGGTTAAACTAAGATTTCATAAAGCTAAAGTTACATGTGCGATTTGTTTCTTTGTGCGGGTTACGCAACGGATCAAATTTGATCGTGTCACCGAGGCAAAAGGAGTGGCAATCCGTACGCAATGATTTTCTCGTTTAATATAAGAGCAACGACGTTTTCGAAACTAACCGATTTAGCCATCTATTGAAATGGACAAAGCCCTATTAACTGGTTTAAACCGTTCAAATGGACACCATTTTTTCCATTGGAATGAATAATATTCAGATTAATATAACTGATCCGATGAATAATACTTTATTCCAACCGAAAACTGTCGTTGAATGGTCAATTGGTTCCTAGCTGTGCATGAGCCAACACAGCATAGCTGTTCAAATGGAACAAATTCACAAAATTTTGTTCAGTGTGACAAACTGACCTTTCAAATGGTGAAATTAAGAGAGCCACACGCTAATAATTAGGCCAAACATTACATAACATTTATTATAATGTTAAATGGTATTGTTAAAGAGTTATGAAACAGAATGGTTGCCTTATTTTTTAAAAAGTACTGCTAAATGATGAAGGGTGACGTTTACAGTTTATTCGTAACTCATCTCATTCCCAAGTCATCGCACTTTCTATATTTTGAGTTGTGACGCCACTACTGTAGTTTGACTCGAAATAATGGCAATAACAAGGAAATCTGATATATTGGTGACTGTTTCATAAAATTCAATGAAACTTGGCACAATTAGTGGGTGCAATGAAGTGAAAAATTTCGCTTGTTTGTATGGTTATTATAGCAACACACCTGTCCCCAGTCCCTCTCTTCCAATTTCTATATGATCTACTGTATTTCCAACAAAATAAATAGCAATTTATGCAATTATTACTTATTACTATAATACGTGTAGATGTTGTGATCAGTTTAAGCCGTTATAACATTCAAACACCCTGCGCACGAAGTCATGGATTGTAAAATAACTGTTATGAAACTGTAGGCACGTGACATGTTTCCATCCTGATGATTGGCTGAAAGGTCTATTTTTTGCCCGAGTGAAGTGGAAACCTGGTTGCAAATCGTGATGTCAACAATGGCGAATGATGGCGAAGTATTGTTCATTTTCCTATGCTTTTGACTGAGATTTGTTTTGCCTTTTCACGTTTTTTGCCTGACAATGAGTTTGTTCCTGTTTTTTGTTATTTTATACTGGTCTATAGCCAAAATGAAGTCGTCTAAGCCACACAACAACACTTAAAGCGGCAATGTCACCCGCTGCGCATCCGTTCTGCGCATAACAAACCGATTTTCGGAATATGTCGGAAAAAATCGGAATCACAACATTCCGACTATAAAAATGTGGCATATATTCCCATTTTCAGCGGCGGAAAAGACCAAACAATTGCTTCATTTCATACAGGTTGACAATTATAGTTGTAAAAGTTCATGTGCCACCAAAAGAAAAGAGAACAGTAAGCGAGGTTGCCCGCGTAAGGAAAAGATTAAAGAACATTGTGTGTTCTGCCAGCGTTGCAAGTGTGGAAATCGCAAAACTCCTCAGTCTCCTTGCATGAAGAATAGGGTATGTATGCGAATCAAATGTACTTGACGGTATCTTTTATTTGTGTTTGAGTATTATACCACATTATATTTACTGTTTATCCTATTTTGGTGTAGGAGGACGTTGGCGAAAGTACCATGTAGTGCATATACTTCGTGGCCTCACACAGCGTGCAACTGTCAACACTGAGAAAACGATGATATTAAGCCAAGGTTTGTAAATTTCTATTAATACATGTTAAATTTGACAAAATTGTTTCAAACGTTTTTAAAATGAGGTATGTTAAACATGTTTGAAGATGTGGTACAGTCCGTATGTAAACAAATGCGTATGTAAACAAAGGCTTTGTTTACATTTCAGTATCCTAAAATATTGAATTTTATTTTTACAACTTATATTTTCATGATTCTAGAGTATAATAAATTATCGAGACACAACAATCAAGCTTTGCAAGAACATGAAATGAAACAAAAACCTAAAAAAACTGTTTGAATAATAAAAAGAGGGCTCCTGTGTGCACATACGCAGATTGGACTGTACCACATCTTTAAGTTGAATAACTTTGGTTGAAACTTTGAATGGTGATAAAGTCTAATTGGGAAGTGATGGCGCAGACTGAAATTTGAAATGGGAAATAGCAGTATATTTGTTCAGGACTGCAAATATAATTCGGCAAAGGCAAATTGCCAACCTGTCAGGACATCGTGTCAGGGCGGCAAATTAACATGCTGTAGACCTGTTTGCCGATGGCAAATTGTTGCCGATCCGATTTTTCCTATTTCGGATGCCTAAATATTAGCCAAATGACACATAATTATAAATTTGTATAAGTGAAATATGCTAACATATTCTATAATAGCTATTTAGTAAATAAAAATAACCAACCC